GAGTAGTGAGAGTCCGCCTCTGTTACAACCTAGTCTACTACGAAGCGAGGACACAGTCAAATTTCGTTGTCACCCTTGAACGATCAACTGGTAACCAGAGTCCGCCTCTACTGTCACTTGATCTTCTTCGAGCGCGGTTTCTGTCTACGCTGGTTCAACGCCTGCACCAAGTTTTCCCTTTTAAATAAAAGTAAGTGGCAAGTTAGCAGATTTCTAAAGATTCTTTCTTCCTATCAAGTGTTTCTTTTGCGCGAATGCCATTACTCGCCATAGTATTGGTACCCGTGGATCGCCGGGAAAAATCAAGTGTTTTTGCGCGAACGCCATTACTCGCCATAGTATTGGTACCCGGGATCGCCGGGAAAAATCAAGTGTTTTTGCGCGAACGCCATTACTCGCCATAGTATTGGTACCCGTGGATCACCGGGAAATATAAAGTGTTTTTTTTGCGCGAACGCCATTACTCGCTATAATATTAGTACCCGTGGATCACCGGGGAAAATCAAATGTTTTTGCGCGAATGTTATTACTCGTCTAGTATTGGTACCCGTGGATCACCGGGAAATATAAAGTGTTTTTCGCGAACGCCATTACTCGCTATAGTATTGGCACTCGTCGGTCACCGGGAGTATTAAATTAGCCACGCACATACCATTGCTCTCCGCAGTAGTAACACCATCAGAATAACAGGGACTGATCGGATTAAAGCAAATACTCACCACGATATTAGTGTGTTAAAGCCAGATCGCGAGTTTACACGCCTCTTCCACGTACGATACCCTTACTCGTGATGGTGCTGACAGTTTTTAGATCGCGAACGAGATATACGCCGCTCCTGTTAAAATCGAGCCACGAGCAAGTGCATCGGAATATTGCACAGCAGTCGGTCTTAGTCGCGTGAAAGCAGTCGTAGCCCTTTTTCGAGTACCGCGTCATTAAGTTGAACTACCCCTTTAACCCCGCGTCCCACCTACGCTCCCAGTGTGAGTCCCGAGCTATTAAGCGAAAGCTGAGGCTCGAATAGTACGTTGCGCCGACGTAACAATTTATATAAATACAACCTGTACATAGATGTGAAACGAGTCATTATTGTAATAATTTTTTATGATGCTTAATTAAACAAATTTTCAAAATAAACGGTCCTTAATAAACAAGATTAAACTTGCAACTTTAAGTGCTTTTTATCTGTACCTGCGTGGCCGTTAGCACTGGCGCAAATATGTTTTAAATTAAAATTTTTAATTTATTAAAACATTTTTTGCAGTTTCTCGAGCATACTGCGTAATTGTCAAAACATTCAAATAAAAATTGTACGCACATATACGTGCACTTTTATATGTATATGTGTGAACATTAATGTACTTATATGGGTAGATGAGAAAAAGTATTATCGTAGGAATAATAATAAGATTAATAAAAAAGATAATAATCGTAACATTTTATTTTTACATTGCTGTTGTTGCTAAAAATATTCAAGATCAATGAAAAAAAAAAAAATTTTGTGTTAAGAAATATTATTGGAAAATGTATTACCTAACATTTTTTATGATGTACACTTTCAGAAATTATAATAAGTAGTAAAAATAAAAATAAAAACAATTCAAATACAGTTATTTATAAATAAACATAACAAACTTTTATGTGTGGCCTCTAACACGTACATAAGCACCGAAATAGACATAACGATAAGGCGTCGCTGAAGAAAAATCAGATTTACATAATAAATTGCTCGTTCCACATTATTTTAGAACTATGTCATACGAAACTTGTAAGCTTTGTTCGATAACAAAATTGTGCGTTCATGACTGTGCAATGTCTGGTCAAATTTTGAAAAAAACCTGGTTTTTCAAAACTTCGTCAACTTCTTCTCCGTTAACGAAGAGTCTTACGAAAAAATGACAAAAAGTCCTTTTTTTTTTAAAAATAAGCAAAAGAATTAAAAAAAATTCTCAATCAAAAAAATGAAAAATACATTATATGTTTATAAAAAATGCTTTTAACAATTAATCGGCCAACTTCATAGCCAAGTGCCTTTGATAATCGGATTCAGCGCATCAAAAGACATTTAAAAAACTTTGGTACAACCATAGACTACCATCGGCAACGAAAAGTACCCTGGCTCCCAGACTATAGGAGTCGTGGGTTACATCTTTTGGTAACCATGATTTTATTGCTAAAATGCAAGCAATTGTCAAATGTACTAATATAAACATTATTAGGAAATTTTTCAATTTTTTTAAATATGAACTTAATGGTACGATTTGTATAAGAGAGTTGAGAATAATAATTATTAATATCGATTAATATTCAAACGCAAACTTAGTAGTTTTGAGCATAACTGTTGATTATTAAATAGTCATGCTCCAAACTACCAAGTTTGCATTTCAATATTATTTGATGACAAAGGAGTAAGTGAAAGGAATCTATAGGTATTTATCTTGATTCTTAGTTCATCAGTCGCAAACTAATTTAAAATGTAATTTCAATTGTACACAGATTTATTACGATGAATGGTAACGTTTAGAATCTGAACTGTTCTATCCAAGTGTTTTTGAAAATAGCTTTTATATTTTTTTGTACTCAGAAACAGTAACTGCCCCTCTGTGTTGTTAGAATCAATGTGTATGACATTAATAGTTGCAACAATCTCAAAAATTCTCATTTTTAGTTCAAATTTGTTTTAGTCATTTTGTAATTTTTTTTATACAAGAAAGTGAGCCTGAAAAGGTGGGCATTTAGTTCTAATGAAATGTAGCTCATTCGTAACCAGCTTTGGTACATACAATTCTACACTCTCAAGAGTCTGTGTGCATTCCACACAATTTCTAAAAATAATGAGTAATGTTTTGCATTATTATTTAAAAATGTAAGCTAATGTCTTGATGTCGTAGAATAAAATGTAACTTATAATGTAAGCCCCTAGAATTCTTAAAAGTATACAACTCTTTTCACTGAATAAATAGTCATCCTTTTCAATAAAATATAAATATATCACACTTTTCATGAAGCACCACTTGCTCTAGTACTCATGCACCAGTTAATACTGAAAACTCGCAGATTTGCAAGCGTAATAGTTAATATTAACAGTATGAGCTCAATGCTTCTATACACTGTCTGAAGGATAAGATGATAAACAACCCTTAGATCCAGGGTAAGGTTCACACTGTCCTTAAGAGAATATAACAGCGCACTTTAAATTTTAGGTGTTCTTTATAGTATAAATAAATAGGCCATTTAATAAAACTCACGTGAGCACAATAACTCGTTACTACCTTAAAATTACTATCAGGACAACGCCTAGATCAACCAAGGTACCAGTAGCCTCGTGGCAACCAACTTTTTTTAGCGTGTTTAGATGAAAAATAAAAGTTAAAAATAAAAAGTGTAGTATATACATGTAGAAAAAGTTTCATTTGTTATACTTCAGTTATCATGTCGAGCAGAGCTCCCGCAATAATGTTGGACTTAAATTTAAGAGAAAGAGTGACTAAACCAGGCTCTACAGGGCTATTTACACTGATAATGCAAACAATGTGATGGTGAGGTAACTAACTGGTCAAAGTGAAAAAAGCTTCTAGCTCTAGCCTATGACATATTTTTATGTATATTTCTGCTTTAAGGTACGTTTACATATTTTATTGACAAACACATTACCATTCTGAGTAACTTAGGTACAGCGATAAATGTGTACATTACAAAATAATAAGTTTGTAACTTAATAGTTCCAGTGAATAATGAATAATATACTTATTTTAGTACGTATGTAACGTACAAAGTATTGATTAAAGGTTATATTGTTTTTGAAAATCTATGCTGTAACCTACAAAAAGGTTTAACAAACTTGTGATAACCGTAGTGTCTTGGCCAATTTATCAAAATACAGATACAATTTTACACCAGTGATCAGAAAAACGTGACACAGTTAGAAAAATAGAAAGGAAAGTACAAGAAGTGTAAAAAATTTAAATTACAGCTATGTGGAAGTAGAACCGAACAAAAATAGTTAATAATTACAGAATACCATGATTTATAGTATCTTAGCGTTACGATGCAGAAAAATAGTTTAAGAATCAAATGTTTAATCGTCAATACCATAACAATCCCCTTATTTTACTCAGTTTTAAAAGAATCGGCTAAACGTATGTTTCAAATTTGTCATAATCTTAAAACAGTTTTTTCTCGCAAATGAAGTGGATGATCATACTCGTGAAAAATTTTCAAAAACAAAACATAGAATTAAAATTTTTCTCTTTGGTTAATATTTTTTTTTTTTTATAGTATGAAAACTTTAAGATTTTTTGTAAAGCATTGTAACTGCAAAACATAAAAAAACTCTTATATATTGCTAAAAAACTTGATGTCTTTGGTTCAGTGGAGAAGTAATCATCAAAAAAAATTTTATTTATGGTTTGTTATACTTTTAGACTTTAATTGTACTTAACTAATAAAGTTTCAATAGACACTACTTGTTTACGTTAAATACAACACAAGAAGCCAAGTGCCTTAGAAAGCATTACAAATATATTTGAAATTTTTTTTTTTATTTTGCTAAATGAAAGCTTATAAAAAAAGAATTAATTTTTTAAATATCATACATACTACATGCAGTCATGTCTCTCTAATAGTTAGTCATACGCGAAATTACTTCCACTGCGGCTGATACGAAGAGAGTTAAAGGGTCAAGTATTTCAGGCAACGATGTCAAATCGATTTATACTGTTAAAACTAGCTTAAATTGTATTTATACTAAATAGTTACTCATTGTATTATTGAACCGCACATAATATAAAATAATGATTACTGTCCTAATTTGTTTTATGAATTGAAAATTTAAGTCTTTAAACGTGAGGATCTTACTAAAGAATAACCTGCGCCAATTTTCGTTTAAAAAAAATTTAGTACATGCCACTTACACAATTCTATAAAACTAAAAGATACTTGTTCACATTTCATGTAAAATTATAAAAAGTAAAATTAACAGAATGAAAGAAGTGAGGTACCTGCTCTTGTCTATAATACTCTTGAGAACAGGAATAAGTTAATCCTGTACTGGGCTGATTTTGAGATGTCATTAGATGTGATGCATTTGGTTGCTGACCAGAATTAGAGTGGCTCTGTGATACTGTTGGATATGCATTCCTAGGATTAGATGTTGTACTGCTGGAATATATTACAGCTGATTGATTTCCACTGTATCTACTATAAATATCTTGACTAGGATTATTCTGAGCCAAATTATTTCCAGTGTAATTTCTAAATAATATACTTGTACTACAATACTGCCTTGTAGAAAATTTATATGATTTGTTTATTAGAAATATCACACTTCTTACCTGTCTATATCGGAAACATATGGAGGGTAATGGGTGCGTGGAGTATAAGACTGACTATACTCATTTTGTTGATTTATGACGCTGCCTTGTGGTCGACTATATTGGTCTGGAGAGTAGTTTTGAAATGATCCCGAGTTTTGATAATTCCCTTGTTGTAAGCCTATAACATAATTTTATACACGTAGCTTAACATATGTATTTTAATACATAATTTTACAGAAATACTCATGTTAATGTATGTCTTAACACTACCGAAGACCTCAAAGAATTAAAATTATTTTTTAAGATATTTTATTTAAATAAAAGAGTTACAGAAACTCTATTTGCATAAGTAGACAGGCATCTACGTATATGGTACGTTATACAACTACACTTAACCCAGCAACTTATTCTTTCATTTTTTCTTTTGTTAAGCAAAAAACTTCTATATTCCATGTTCAATTATGCATTTTCTGCATTGAAATATTTTTAAACTGTAAATAAACTGCTGTGAAGTAATTTAAAAAATGCATATTTGGCCATTAACAATGATGTTGTAGCATTGTGCTTTCTTTCACATAACACTTACCACAAGCAACCACTTGACCTAAGATTTATAAAGCCCTTTAGGACTACAACTTCCTAGAAACTAATTATATTTAGCAGAGGAGGCTGCAAGTGACTTTAAAAAAAGTTGCCATTTTTCTTTCCCTTTATGTGGACAAGAACTTTATTTAATTAAATATTGATTTTTTGTGTTGAAAATAAAATGAATACTTATTTTGAGTTGAAATTTTTGTCAATTTATAAGCCACTCGCATCATTGATAAAATTAGTTCCAAAAGTTCTTTATACATCCAAAATAGAAAAACAAAAGATACAGAACAACCCATTGATTACCTTTTCTAAAACTTAAAAGTAAAAAATATGGAACACATAAAAGAAGCACTTAAAGAGATAAAGACATACTGTGTATGAATCAAAGCTTTAACAATCATTCTTCTAAATACATCTTTATTAGAGTGTTATACTAAAACTCAAGTATTAAAAAAATCGTTTCTAAAATTTTTCATGAAAATTAAACGTTTCTAGCGATACTTAAAAAACTTTAATAATCTTGATTAATTTAAAAGACTGATATGAATTATACTGCATTATTAAGCATGCATTTATGTGTTCTATGCTATTAATTGACATTTCAGCATAATGTTGATGCTTTCACTCGTTTAGCTTATCTGATGCTTGTGTCAGCTAATCAGACAACGAAATGTAGCGTTAGACTTTTTATTTCAATCCTATCTCAACAGATAATAAATGAATAGTTATTTTAATAAAATGTTCATTTTCTTAAAAATTTTATTATTGAACTTTAAAACAAAAGCTAATGTCATACAATTTAGAAAATCAGAAATTTTCTTGTTAGTGACTCAGTACTTCAGCCAAAAGCTTTTGTGAAGCTTATCAAAGGGAAATGGGGTCACAATACGTTATTATACAGCAACAAAGTACAAGTAAAAAATAGTTTTTTTTTTCAACTGCTTGAATTTGAACTACACAATCTATAAGTGTTAAATGTGAAATGTTAGGAATGAATTCAAAAAATGCTTGTTCTTTCTCACAATTATAGAAGAACAACTACAATCATACACCTGTCGTTCACATAGATAGGCGGCAAGGGGGGTCAAACAAAAATTTAATTAGGTTAATTTTACAGAGAAATATACGGACTTTTGCCTTATTTCAAGAAAGGGGGTAGAAAGTGAGGCGACAGAACTAGGACGTAGAGGAAGATGGGTGGATGGCTTCTCCTTACTAACTAAAGAATACAGAAAATTATATTAGAATCAATTGTATACAAATAATATGATTAAAAGTATACGTAAATATTAATAAATATATAAAGGGATCCGGATATATATAATAATAGCGATGCTTTTTCCCCTGGCGAAATGTGTTTAATAGTATTTTTATTTTTAATTCTGTTACAAAATTCAGCATAGAAAAAGAGGTTAATCATGTACATTAAGACTTTTATCGAATAACTTTATTGAATTTGATGATTTTCGATGTCCTAAACAAAAAGCTTATCTACAAATAAATTTTTTTTAAATAACTTCATATAATTATACATTATTTTAATCTATTATGTGTCATTGGCAAGTTATTTACCATTCTAGTATCTTAAAACAAAGAAGAATCAAAAATATACTTTCAAAACAATATATCAAGGAACATTAAAATTTTTTTATTGATGGTCCAGGAGGTTCAGGAAAAAAATTTTTATACAAAACAATCATACACTTTTTTGTTTTCGAGGGCAAAGAAATTATATCAATAACATAGACAGGTTTAAGATCTGTATTACTCACAAAAAAAAGGACAAGCCATACAACCATTCGATTACCGTTAGATCTACATAATATAGAAAGCGCATTTTTAGAATTGGATTTGAATGGAAAAAAATTTTAAAAAGTAGAAATATTACTTGAAAATAGGGCTTCGATAATTTTTAAGAAAGCTTTCACAGTTTTAATCAAAACCTTAAGTAATTTCTGCAATATACATGTATGGTTATAGTTTTAGGTGGTGATTTTCGTCAAATCCTTTCAGTAATTAAAAATAGTGTGACATCAAACGTGGCGTTCAAAAGATAGACTAAATTATTACAAATAAAAAACAAAATTATACAAATAACGTTACAGAGATAAACAAATAAAAATTTTTTTTTATCTTTCTCATGATAAACATCATTCTTGTCTATTTTATTTTTACAAATACAACTTAGCTTAAATCGAGTTGATTATCTACTAACAATATTTTCATACCAAAAACTTAGAAATATAGTATCACTATCTAATTACAACACCTTTACATCTGTGAACAGCGTAATTATAGAAAATTAACTTACTTCCATATTGCATACATTTCTACAAATCGCTTTCAAACTATCATTTATTACCTTAAGAACGCTATATTTTGTTTCATGTTCTCCTTTTTTAATGCCTCCAGCCATTCTCCTTTATTTAGGATGAATAGTTAATCTCCTTTTTTAAAAAAAATTTGGACATTGGTCCATCACATGTTCAAAACTTCCTATATTATTTTTACAAATAATACATGCTCTTTGGGAGTCACTCAACCAATACATATTTCCTATCTCCAAGTTTCTACATCATGCTCTAGCCATTAATTTGATATTTAATTCTGTGTTATATTTACTTCAATATACAGGTAGATTATTGATTAGAATATCTTTAAGCCTTTTATTATACTTATATTCATTAACTTTGGCTTCCAAAATTTTGCATTTTAATTTCCAACTGATTTTGTTTTACTATATCATTAACTTTTTCCTTATTTTCTCTTAGTCTTTCGACTTCAATACTGCTTGGACCCATCTATTTAAATAGCACTATCCTTTCCTCTTTGACTCTTTCATCGCTTCATCAATTAGATTCTCCCTGCCCAGAGATTTTTTCTTCATACTTTAACACTCTTAACGCCCATTGATTTTTGAGATTTCTTACACCAGTCTCTTTCCTGACTATATATATACATCTGGGTGTGCAAAAGTTCAGTCCTAGCACCTATCTTTTATCATCATCGAGTACTTTTTCAAGCTCTCTGTTCTCTGCCTAACCCTAAACCCCCACTCCGTAGCGCATAGTACTTGTGACGAGGTAACCAAAAGTATTCGCCTTCTCGAAAAATCGTTCCTACATTTACTTCCCTTTAAGCCCCAAGTTTTTCTAACCACCACGAATCTTTTTATTTTTAGTTCATTTATATGGTCCTTTAAATTTCCTAAGCTGTTCAACATAAAACTTAAATAATTAAAAACATATACTTCTACCATCACTTCTTTGCCTTGTCGTAAAAATTTTTTTTGGCATCCCTAACCTTCCTAAATTCTAACACTTTTTATTTTTTACTGCTGACAATTAATTTTCACCGCTCAACAAAAATTTTTGAAGTATCATTCATGGTTGGCATGGCCTTCTTATAAGATGCCAATGAAATTTTATCAACTGCATATGCTAGCAATCAGACTCTTTCTTTTTCTGTTTTTAAGCTCTCTTGATTTTTTCTTTGGAAGTCATCATCTGAATTTACGATGTATATGCTAAACAAGGTTAGACTGAACTGACACCCTTGCTATAATCCCTTTGCAACCTAGAACTCCTTTTAAATTTTTTGCGTACCCTTACCTTTTACCCTTGTTTCCTCGTACAACCTGTTGATTCTTCGTTTAGATACTTGCTGATTTCTTTATTTTTAAGGATCTTCCATAAAATGACCTTATCTACTGTGACCAACGTCAACTGTGGTCATCAAATAACGCATACGGCTCACTCTTTTCCACCTTTAAAATGTAAATATTATCAGTAATGGAGCTACCTGTTCTGAAGTCTGCTTGCCCTTGTGGTAAGATATTTCTTTATTTTATTCTAGCTCTTGCCTACTCCTTACTATTTCAGTATATACTTTATATGATATTACTCTAAAAATGAAGCAAAATATCTCTATGAATCTTAGTCTCATTCTTGTCCCCCTTTTTAAACAACGAGACCACAACAGAATCTTTCAATAATCATGCATTTATTCCTTTTTCCGCAGCGTTTACAAGACCTCCTTGAAGTTATCCCTTGTTTCTTCCCTTGCATATAACCATGCTTTATTACCAATACTTATTAGCTCCTATTATAGTATTTTAGGAGAAAGATGATACATAATGATATTTAACTTATAATGTAATATTAGTGACTTAGTGATTATACATATTTTTTTAAAAATAAATGTTAGTAAAGTAATTAAAAAATAACAGGTTTATCACATTTTTTTCCTACTTCACAGATTTTATTGTGATATCTATCACTTACCCAGCAATGAGGACATCTTGTTTTACATGGCTTCGAAACCAGTTGAAGCAACGCACTCAAGAAATTTGTTTCCCAGAGGTGCAAGCCAAGTGAATAAAAGCCAAGTCTCTTACTTATGAGCATGTGTTACCAAGCCCTCGAACTACAAGAACCACAGCCTAAACCACTGTACTACCATGGCCGTAATACATTTTTGTTAAAATATATGTAGTTAATCATAATACGCATACAGAAATTTTACAATTTTTCAGATTATAACTGATTGTGTATGGATTGTATACCAAATTGATAATTAATTTTTTTGAAGCTTCTTCCAAGAAAAAAAACTAGGTGTGGATCTCGGGACCCCCAACGGATGTGAAACATTAAA